CTCACTAGGATGGTTGTGTACATCCATCTATGGAGGAATGGCTCAACTATACGTACACTCATTGTCGGTTGAATATGTTTTGTGAATCCGGGTGGTCTATAGTTTTTATCTCCGAGTCTCTGAGAAGAAAGTTGGTTATTTGGTTGAATAGCAAGATCGCATCTGGATGATTGTGTGTATTGGTCTGCATCTGTAAAAAATCAGTGATATTTGCTGTGTGAGGAAATCATTACTGATTATGCTGCCAATGAAGAATATCTATTAGCTGCCCGATGGGTCATTTATATGTTGCTCTTTCGGAAGACAGGTTATGCTCAAAGGTATGAATTACACGTTCTTTGTGTTTTCAAAAACTTTGAGGAGAATTACGGGAAATCACCACTGCGCCCGCATTGTGTGTAATTACTGTTAGCATGTATATGACTTGTAATTCGACAGTGTACAGTGAATATAATTATTTCTAATCTCTCTCATTTCTTAAATTCAGCAAATTTGCATATGTAATTTCCAGAATGGATAAGAAAAAATGGATGCGCAAATAATTTCTAACTTTGAGTCTCAAGTAAGTGTATTTGAGACAAGAATCCAATGGAATCATCATCAACACATATTATTAGTACACAAATCCTCACTAAGCCGTTACCTCCAGTAAAGCCATCTCTGAAGCAGATTTTACATCACATCATAGCCAAACATTGATAACTGAAGCCTCATGACATTTAGGCAACAGGTACAACTACAAAACGAGCTTACAAAAGTGCGCATCAGCTAGTGCTAAGTTAAAATCTTGTCGAAAAACCTACATAATGTCAAAAAACAGTATAATATCAAAAAAATTTATATAATGTCACTTTTCAAGATACGTAATACCCGTTACTTGAAAACGCCAAACTTTAATATCATGATTAAGTCACACATCTACTGTATGTGCTCCAGTTTTAACGTTATAGCAGATAAGAAATTGTGACATTCATCACGTTGAAGTTAAAGATATGTTAGGTAAATTCAGTGAATACTTAAGGTATACATGTAGTAGCTTTTCCGGACAGCCTGCAGTGATGAGAAAAATCACCGAGGTACCAGTTTCTATTGGTAGGAGGCGAGTTATGAGGCCTGACGTGGCATGCGACCTTCGATAGGTTCCATCCAACAGAACCATTCTCTCTAGGCACGCCAGACCATGCTGTAGGATCTTTCGGTCAGGGACGTCGGCATGCTGCAGAATTCCTAGGGACGCCCAGAAGATACCCACAGATGCGCGCGGCATCGCGGGAGATTCTAGTTACCACGCCACCGGCATAATTTGTAAAATGGGTTTTTTGATGTTTTATAATATGTACATCACGAAAAACTATGTCACATATTTCCGTCGGTTTTCTGACAGTCTGTCTACCGGTCCGCTAATCCTTGACCGGTCTGCAACCTGGAAAGTACCGATTGGATTATGATGAATGTTTGAAACAAGGTTGCTATTATGCCAATGACAAAATAGCCGTATGGCCCTTGAAAACCGATCAAGCGGCAGCGAAAATCGAAGACAAAAATAAAAATCTCTCAAACTTCGTTTTTTGATGTTTTAGAGGCTCCTTCCTGGCCATTTTTAGAAAAAAATGTTAGGTTTGGGATGGTAGGGGTTGAGGTAGGGTATGCGTAAATGTCTTGCAGTAGTATATTTATACACTTCCAACCACGGTAATTCTACGCACGTATCAGTGCATATTCATTCATTTCCCCGTACATTTGCCGTTACAGCTAAAGGTAAATGTTTTTTTACAGACGCGTCGCGTATCGGTCTCACGGTAACGCTACAAACGTATACCCTTGTACACAAAATCCTGTCTGCATGTGGCCGCTCACCGCTGGAGCTTTCTTATGGCATGGCTGACTGTGATGGCTCAACAACGTTGCTAGATGGTCGATACTGTCGGTAAAGCAGGGGAGACATTTCTAGGCTGCAATGAGTGCAAACTATCTACGCATTCTATGGGCGTGTTTAACTGACTTGATCCATTTAGTTTTTTTGTGATACATCTTCGTAGCTACATTTTTTCTCAAAGGGGTTAACTAATGCCGAATATAATCCTTCACGAACTGATGACAACGTTGCATATTTAGAGTCAACCACTTAACAGCATTTTTTCCACCAATACTTGCTACTGAGATAAAACTCCATTTCAGTACTGCCCCTGACGACCCTCAATTTGGGTTAACCCTCGGTAAATGATTAGCTGCCCCTTATCTGAAGTACATATTTTTTAATTTGATATAATTCACGGTTAACCGTTAAACATTAATTTTCGTTTAGAACAGAAGCACCAATTATTCTCGCTCAAACGCGTATGTTAAGAAAAGTGTCTAATGATCATTATTAATGTTTGAATGTTTTGTTGCAACCGGATTTGAAACGAAACGTGACTGACTTTGAACGTTTTGTGTTACAAGAGACAAAAGTAACTTAATTACTGAAATTAATCGCAACCGTGCGGTAGAGGAAAAGTGTGTTTGCTGATTTGGATCATGTCTACAAGTAACACTTTTACTGCTGTTGAGAATAACGAAACCGATTCTGAAAGTGATGCATAAGAAAAATCGCGAACAGGAAAATATCTAGCAAGAGCGTGTCATAATAAATGTCACGCAAGCTATGTCCGCAAAGTTGGGGTTTTCCTTCTCAAAAACAACTACCCTTGAAATAACAAAGGTAATGTGTAGTGAAACGAGGGCGACCAAGTAAAAAAAATAAATAAAAATGTACTCACTCTCCAGTTGACGAGAAGGGCTAAGTACGTCTCTGCCCGAAATCATACCGCTCCAACAGAAAATGAAATCAGCTGATGCGCTACCGAGCAGACGCAGAAACCACATTGATTGTCTTACACTTAATGGCACATCTTCTAACAAGGAAGGCAAAATGTTGCGTAAAAAGTCTAGGTATTGCATCCCGTCCAATCGATTTGGGAGAATAAATGGTCCAATGAGCATACCGTTCACCATGCCAGCCCAAAAATTCACCGAAAATGTTTGTTGAAAATGTGCCCGACGGACAGCGTGCGGATTTTCTACTGCCAAACATGAGTGTTGCGGAAGTTATTCACCCCATTACGCGTGAACGTAGATTTGCCTGTCACCAATATGCACTTCAAAAAGTCCGGATTATTGGCATGTTGATGCAACAACCTCTCACAAAACCGCACTCTTGCTGGAAAATCGTCAGGTTGAAGGGCTTGTACACATTGGACGTGAAACGGATACAGCCCCTCTTCACGCAGCGTTTGCCACACTTTATTTTTTGATACTTGCACTTCTCTAGCCACGTCTCTAGTGCTTGTTGAGGGATTCTCGTCTACGCGATTATATATACATGCGTGACCGTTGAAGGTTGCATACTGACCTGACACACTGACCCCGACCCAGTTCTGCCGTCGGGTTGAGACCTTGTACCAATCGGTGATGTCCCGGGTCGCAGCTACAGGACGGTATTCAGATATTTTTGATGCTACAGGGCCCTTTATCTCGGTTCCCTTAAGACATTGGTGTATATGGTACTAAGAAAAATTGCTTATGTTTTCAAGATCTACACGTCGTGTAAAGGAAAACCCCAACTTTGCGGACACCCTGTATAAGTAATACTATAATACATGTCTAGTATCACATGGAATTTAAATCACTGTAAATAGCAATACTAGCTCGATGCTACCTGTATTTTATTGGAAGGCTGGTATGGATTTTTATAGCGAATTTCTAATGCTCCGTGTCATAGCTCTACTATGAGGTTATGTCACAAATATCTATTTGCATCAAACTATTTTGTCAGCCTGAAATTTCCTACAATTCAAAAAGAGAGTAAATCTTCACAATAGGAGAGCGCTGACGCTGGCACGGAATAGGTGAAATCTAGAAATACCCCAGTCTTTTTGAATGCGCGTAAAGACTATGAAAATCAAGGAGGCAATAAAGGCGTCCTACAATTTATTGTAGGAACGACTGACGATACGGGCCTTGCTGTAAAAGTGGCACTTACAGATTTCAAGATGCTAGTAATTTGTAAGCTTAGAATTGCATGTGACTCAACAACTAATTTTCATATCGTTATAACATATTACATGTCTTCTTTCTTTGAAGGATTTGTCTACATGCGCAGTAAAATGCCTCACATTCAGGTTAAAATAATTCTCAGATTTTGACTGTTTTTTAAACGGAATGTTTCCTACTTTATCACATATTCGGTTTAAGCCTCCCAAGAGAAGAAGATCGATATGACATTCTATACCGTTTTGTTGATTGGCTGTTGAGTAACATATTGAAGGGCAGAATTTTATACTCTAGGGTTATAAAGTACTAGCTGTTACATGCGAGATCCTGTGCTTCAAATTGTTACTAAAATATTATATGTAACATTATTTTTGAGTAATTTTTTTATTTATTCACTGAATGAAAACTTCCTCAATATATTTTTCGGATGCAAAATATTGATATCCGGTAAAATAAAAACTTTAGAAGATACCCCATTAAAAAGCATTTGTATTCAACACATCTAATCGCACTGATACATGGTTCTTATAAGCATACAATTTCTTGACAAGAACTGTAACTGGATTCGACTTGAGAGAATGTTCGCAAATACAAGTGAAGTGGCACACCTTACTGAAGCGACTGATTGTAAACAGGAAAGTTAAACAGACCGACTTGTGTGTATTCTGCTTCTATCTTGACGTATGGGCAATTAGAGAATCCATATTGGGAATAGTACTAGATAACATGACAGAGACATAGTGGTCTTGAAACTCGGATAATGATGTTAAAAAGAAATTCGAATCAAAATATTTTGCAACTAGTGTGGTAATAAATTTTCTGTGATCTGTTAATTGTGAATGATGCTTCGGTGGAAGAATACCATTATCAAGTATCAAACGAGATCGGTGAATTTTGAGAAAACTGCTGCTTTTAAGAATTCTTCATACCTTTCATTGGTGAATGTTAGTGAGTAGAAGTACTTTCACCTTGCAAATGAATGCATAAATAGGGACAAACACAATGCACAATTTACATCTTCTGATACACTGCACTGAATGTGGACGATAGTGTTTTCTTGGATCAATCGATGTACATACATTGAGACAAAAACTGAGACCTGAGACAAAACAAAAAATAAAGCAGTAAATAAAGAACTCAACTAGATTCCAAACTCAATGCCATCTCCTTCGCATGAAAAATAATGGCAGGCTTTTTGGGGCAGGCAAAAATTCTTAGTGATTGATTATTATTGCAATAAAGGTAGAACAGATAAAAAACGGTAATGGTATATCGTTCCAGCTTAATACTCGGGGGTTTATGCAAGCTTGAGAAACGTCCTTTGTTGTTTAGTGATAAGTCGCACACTCGTCAAAGCTTCTTCAAAGTGACATTATTGAATGTATTCATATACACAAAACATTTGAGTTCATAAATCATTTTGCAGTTACGGTTATTAGGTACTTTTTCAAACAAACACATTTTTGAAAAGGACATGTTTACTTTCCGTCCTGTAACTATGACCAACCATAGGCAGCGTTGTTTCGCGTTCATTAGCAACGCATCAGTGCGGTATAGGTCTTAGGTTAAGTCGTGGATACAGACGAAACGGGAAACAACACAAGTGAATGTGGTCTTTGAACTGGACACATTTTTGTTTCTACTTTAGTTTTCAGTATATTAGATAGCCTTCTAGAATAAAGTAACCTCAAAGACTCTAACCGTTTTGTTTTCAAACTCCAATAAAGAAAAAAATATTTGATCCAAAGCTGAATCTTCACCCTTTCAGCCGTTTTCCTTTCAGGAAATGAAGACATTCATACAGCGGCTATGAGAAGTTTTGTTATACTCGTAATAACTCCGCGCTAATTTTTAGAAACTACTGGTTTCTTTTCGACGAAATAGTAGTAACACGTTATTAATTTTTTCTCAAAATGCCAACAGTCCCTTTCAATAAGCAAAAAGAATTACTGAAATCAGTTTTTGTACTACAACTTAAGTTTTTTATTTTTTACATTTATCCATATTTTTCAGGCACATACACCTATTAACCGTTATTTTTTCTTCTTTCAGGTATGCTTCTGCTAGATTGCAACTACAACCCAAAATTGTATGTGAGTAAAAGTCTATTCAAAATAAAATCTTTTTTTGTACACTTTGTATGCAGGGGGCTACAGAGTAGGGTCGAGAAAATTGAATGTTAATGCATCACGTTAAAATATGTCATAGATCGTATAAACGTAGGTCTTGAAATATTTTATCTCGATAATACAGGAGTGGTTATCTTGTCCGTTTTTGACAGTTCACCTCACATTTCTCGGAAACAGATTGAGAAATTGAGAAAGACCAAAGTCTATTTTTAAGGGTTGCATTGACATATAAAACATGTGTTTTGAAGTACTTACATTATTAGTGTCGTTAGTGCTGACAAGCCTCTATGATTAGCCAACAAACAGTATGCCCAAAGTAAAAATAAATTTTTGTTATAATTTTCATATAAAATCGTGCGCAGTTGATAAAACAAGCTATACTTCTGTGTCAACTTCGATCAGTCATTTGTTACAATGTTAAACATCTATTATAACCATATTTTTCATCGTGGTTTCGAATCTGATGTTTTCTCGTCGGTTGTGCCACCAGCTCAGTGTCTTTGTGGTTTTGACATCCTACTGTGCTAATTACTGCTTATACAAATTCAAAAGCGGTTTTCAGACGTTTCTAACAGTCAAAATTCGCAGCATACTTTTGTGCACTTTTAGTAACAAACTATTTGGAACAGGCTCTAATAAGTTAACAATAAATTTCTTCACATAAAATTATGTACTAAATGGTGTCTGGCAATATCCTTAATTTTATACGAAATAAAATTAAGCGTACTAAATTCAACACAAAATTTCCTATCCCAAAAACGGCCTTCGAAAAAATATTTTACTAATTACATCGATCTATGTATGGGTATCAAAAAATATAAACCGAATTCGCACTTAATTAACGAACTGAAACTTAAACTTCTAATACACACTTTTGAAGCAGAATTAGTATGGCTTCGAGAACACAATTTTTAGCGGCCGGACCAGCTTCAACCATATTTATATTCGTCCATTTTTTATGTTTGTACCTACTGAATATGCCCCTAGATTTTCTTGACAACATTCTTTAACACCTTGTATACACTGAAAATGTTTCGGATGTTTTCTTCTCTCAATGGGCCTGCGACCTGCATATGGTTAAGATTGTCTATTAATCATAATGGAGATTACAGAGACGAACTGTGTCAAATGTTTTATAACATCTGCATGAATGCACAGATTTTGTAATATATGTACCGTTATAAACACGATGCACAGATTAAAATTATGGCGAGCGGCTAGATTGAGATCGTCAAAGTTCAAAGATAATTACATTGGAAGGAATAGCGTTCTGAATTGGTATCTCATTTTTTGAACTTGTCCCACGTCGAGTTGGTTTTTATCTAACATGAACTAATATGACTGGCAGTAAAAGTAGCTTGTTGTTAAACGTGCCAGACTTTTTGATAGAGGTAAGAATATGCTGAATAGGCTCCTTCAAACTTCATCATACCACATATTTCAGCTCTAGAGCCAGGATAGATACATGTCAGTACTAGATAATATGATATAGACCTCTGGGACTAACACCAAACCTCTGACAGACATTGTACACCTCATAAAATGATTATGAGGACGTGAGACTTCCTAACTTGATTCCGAACAACAGAGTAATTGGTGATAAACAATTACTCTCAATCTGGAGAACATCACGATTTAACTTTCGCAAAAACAAAATTGTCCATAATTAGGTAGTGCCACTAAGTGGGTATTAAAAATGCATTGTGGTTGTGAAAAAGCTAACAAAACATGTAAGAGGTTAATTAGCGATATTTTGTATGTAATTACTGCTTGATTTTGTTGAAGTACGACTACTTCTACTCCAAGCATTAAAACTGAGTTTAAACCCATATTTCGGCACAGATACTAACCAATATTTTCGAAGTTGAAGAAAAGTAAATTTGTAATGAGTTCTCACGATAGTCCTGGAGGATATCAATACGTGGCGAAGAAGGAATATGGGGCATGCTTTTGTTATCAGTTGACCCCGGTCATGTTCAAATCTTCTGCTTTAGATGCAGTATCTCTCATGGGAATTGGCGGTGACTACTACAAATTAGTCTAGGCTGATCATATCTTCAATCATTATTAATTGTAAGAGATTCTATCATAATGGATGATAATGATGATGTCTAAGTATGTGACCGAGGTATGAAATGTTTCACTTTTTACTTCCTACGCCTACTGGAGAGGAAGTATTGTAATCGCAAAAATGTCGAAACTGAGATAGCATGTGTCTTGGATGTTATATGACATGTATGTCACTTATTTCCGTCAGTCTGTCTGTCTGTCCGTCCGTCTGTCTGTCTGTCGGTCGGTCCGCTAATCGTACATATGCCAATAAGTCAAGAAGTACCGCTAGGATTCCGATGAAAGTTTAACAAAATCAGATCCGTTCTTTGACGTTTCACACTTTCCTGATCATTTTTCGGATAATTTTTGATGTTTTTGAGGTTAAAAGTTAGGGGTTAGGGGTTGCAGTGATTGTGGGAGGGTATATCTCAATTTTTTGACGTTTGTATATTTACATGCTTCCAACAGTAATTCTACGCACATATTGGGCATATTTCACTCATCATAGATATCCTCGTATATTTACCCTTGAAACTTAAAAAAATATCTCCTACAGTCGGATGTCGAGATACGTGCGACGTCGTCCCCGATGGACAAGCATCATCGTCGGTGTTCGGCAATCGGTTCCACACTGCGTGCATTGTGCATGGTGAAGGCCAATATCGTCATTCACATGGGATTGGTCATCGCAACGATCATGTGCGCCAGCAGCAATTCCTCTCATTTAATTTTTTGTATACATGATCGTAGTTAACTTTTTTCTCAGCAGGGCTAACGTATCCATTTTCGGATCAAAGAAAAGATGCGACGTGCATCCGTATTCAACCGCCGCGCCGTCATGTAGGCAAAAATGTATATTTGTTTACAAATCGTCTGTAAAAACCTAAAATTGCACACAAGAGGAGGAAGCAATTACGGAGATATAAGCAACTTAATATTTGAAAAAGTGTAAAATGTACCCCGCAAAACAATATAAAAAAAAACTAAAATTTTAATGTTTTTGAATATTCTTCAAGCATCCATTAATAAGATCTCAAAGCATTTTAGAGAGTATTATTGTAAATCATTGTTGTTAATTGTTAATCAAGAGTACGCGCTCAATCTATATTCTGGTTGAGCGGACCTATCTATCAAGCTCACACATGATATACATTGAAAGAGCAATTAACACTTAAAAAACAAAGATTTATGATAACAATATCGCTAAAATGCGTTTGAATTTTGTTAATGGATGTTTGAAGAATATTTAGGAACTTACACAACATTAAAATTTTAGTTTTTTCGTATAGTTAATAGATTATTATTTATTAACTTCAGAGAGTTCATAAAGACCCATTCTATTCAGAATGTCCCAAAAAAACTTTACCTAACAAATAAATAATTTTTGATGCAATATTGGACCTATATAGCAACACACAGATTCGATAAAAAAAGACCCATTTTGAAGAACATCATGTGAAAAACAGGATCACAATATTTTTCCGAACTATACAGGAACGTTCAAAAGGATGTCGAGGTAGATAGAGTGGATGACCTTGACAACCCCAAATGTTGCATTTCATTAAAAGAACAGTAAGAGGGTCGTGGAATGACTTACTATAATCCTAAACCCTCTTTCGATCAGAATCAACTAAATCAATACCCATTTGTCATCATTTATATATAGTTGGCAGACCTGTCATCGGAAAGGATTTCATCAGCTGAAATTGTCTTCACTCTTCTTTTTAATGCTGATACTCGTATACGGCTTTGCGCCCATTGTTCTTGAGATAATGGGATCAGTCAAAGTAGCCAGGTAGTCTGTCGAACATGTTCGCTCTTAATTTCTTCAACGGATTGCACAACGACACCGGCCCCGTTTGCGATTGGTTCCGCGGTCTCGGATCAAAAAAGACAAAAGAACAAAAACAACCGCCGA